TCAGGCCAATCAGACGATGCAGCAGCAGGTGAGACCAATTCTCTGACATGTTGGCGGTTACGAAGCAGAATCCGGACACCGTCGGTTACTCCCACTTGCCTCCCGTACTGATCCACCACGGTCCACGCATTGGCTGGATCATTGTATCCGTCATGGAGGATCACCCGCTTGCCCGCCTGCAGATGTGGCAAGGCCTTCACTCCCCGACGAGCGTCATGATCACGTGCCATTGTGGCCTTGGCTCTCAGCTGGATGCTGGGGTAGACAATGCGAGGAGGGATCATGGTAGGAACTCTGCTACGCAATGGGCGAGAGAACAGAGCTTCGTTTGGACAGGTTCCCAACATGCGGTGTCGAGAATGTCGGACGTCGAACAGAACTTGCGAATCAAAATAAATACAAACAAACAAACAAACAACCTGGTTCAGTCGTCAATGGAAAGGGAAATGAGGCTTCAGTGCCACCATCCTTTCCTTGACGAGACGATGGAGTCGTTCCACCATGCCATTGGAACGTGGATAACGTGGGCTGGAGCGGATGTGACGAATGCCCAGGCGCTGGAAGAAAGTGGTCATCTGCTCCGATACAAACTTTTGGCCCGTTATCTTAAACCAGCACAGACGGTAGACCGAATAGGGCAAACACTTCATCTAGCTCGTCTACAATAGCTGTAGTGGTTGTAGAGGACAGAACCTTGAGGATAGGGTACCGGGAGCCATAATCAATGAGGGAGAGAACAGAGTGGCCCTCAATAGATACCACGTAGATTGCCAGGTTCGCCCACATGCCTTCAATCTCAGTGGGGAGAAGATCTTGCGGACAGTTTGTGCGACGTCGCCAACACAGTATGGACACCCGGGCTCCTATACAAGCTGTCGTGCCATGGAATCCATGGTACTTGCTTCATGTGGCTCAGTACTTACCTGACGGGCAGACAGCAAAGTGTGCGTGTCGGCTCTGCTCTGCCTGCCAAAGGGCATGTACGGTCTGGAGTTCCTCAGGGATCAATCCTGGGGCCTCTCCTCTTCCTTATGTATGTAAACGATCTGGCAGAAATGGATCACACATCACTATATGCTGATGATACAGCACTGCTTGTGACAGCACCCGCTCTCCCCGAGGCTAGTGCCAAGTTGCAGTCCAACATAGATGGCGTTATTCATTGGATGGAAAAATGGAAATTGCAGCCCAACTCTTCGAAAACTGTTGTAATGTGTATCCCCCCCCCCTCCCCCCAGTTGTTCCTGTGACCTATCTTCATTAGAAACCAGTCCCTTCACCTTTCCAGGCACCACAACCCCGCTCTGCATCGTTGAAAAACACAAGCATCTTGGCGTCATTATTGACTAACACTTAACCTGGAAATCCCAGATCGAAAATTTAGACAGCTGTGTTAGCTCAGTAATGGGATTTCTCTCATCACACATCACCCACCTCCACACCGACTGTCGCCATGTTATCTACACATCTTACATTCTGCCTATTTTTAATTACTGCTGCATGATTTGGGCTGGCATTTCTAAAACACTGATTGCTCGACTCGAAGTTATGCATAGGCGTCTTTTGAAAATATTATTTCGGCTTCCTCGCCTGACTCAAAGCACAGACTTATACCGCCTTGCTTCTGCTGTGCCGCTCTCGGTCCGCGTGCGTTTTTTGGCATGCCAGACAATTCATAAAATTAAGCTGGGCATTGCTCCTCTTCATGCTCTCTCCTGCCTAAGCTGGTTTGCTCAATCTCAAGACATGAGCACCAGAAACTCTCTCCGTTTCCCTTTTGCGTGGTCTGCCTCTATGCAAACATCTCCTCTCTTCCTTGCTTACCGCCATTGGTCTCTCCTCCCACAACATCTAAAATCCTGCCAATGTTACAATACGTTCACACAGCTACTGCAGAATGAAACATACTAGTTGATATCCAGCCCTGCCCTAGCTCCCCGCGCTCCTCTAACTTTTCAGTTCCCCTTTCATTCTTTTTCTTTCTCCCCTCTAGCTCTATTAACGCTATGGCTGGCTATTGCCCACATCACCATTTCATTGGCTAGTGCCACGTGATTGGGAATAAATAGAATAGAATAGAATAGAATAGACTCCAGCGGAAAGCCGCCAGAATATGTCTCCACCTTCCTCTTTACACACACTTAGAACACTCCCACCTTTTGCATCGCATCAAATGGCCAACATTATTTTCACGCTTTAAAGTTAAACATATACTCTTCGCGCATTCTCTGCGCCACAATTATGAACCACCACATATACTCTCACTGCATACTGCTAGCAACGTGCAACCTTCGTATAATTTACGTCGCTCTCGTATTTGGCACTTGCCAACTCCGCGGACTGACCGCTGTCTCCATTCTCCCCTGTACAAGGCCCTTCATTACTTTAATTGCTTGGCCACCCAGCTTCGCGAAGTCCCTTCTCGTACTCCCTTCAAATCCCAGATATCCCTGCTGTTGCACAACTCTGTATGCTCGGGTAGCGACCCCCCTGCCCGTGCACTTAAGTAATCATTAACCCCTTGGCCCTGCCTACCCAATATTTCCTCACTCTTTCTCCTTTCTTACACTATTATCTCATATTGGCCACTGGCTATCGTGAGAATAAAGACTTGAAACAACAACAACAACAACAACAAGAACAATGGTAACAATTTACCATGAAGATCAAAGGAGAAGTCGACGAACAGAGATTAAGTTAAGCAACATGAAACGAGCCTGGGACCGATCGGTGTTGATGAGGAGAATGACAAAGAGGACGACACTGAGGACGAGTTGGAAGATGAGACGGAGGGCGAGGTTGCGGTTGTTGGAGACGAGGAATCGGATGGTGATTGTGATCGTAAGAAGTCTGCCGTTTTTCTTCATTTGTTGTCTCACCCTAAGTGTCTGCAGGTGTATTATGATTTTGGTTTTTTGTGCACTGTATGCTAGTCAGTTGAAAGTACTTGAGGCTGTTTGTATCCGTTTGCATAATCCTGATCTTCGTAAGCAGAATAAACATGTAGACGATGTTGCGGTTGTTGGAGACGAGGAATCGGATGGATCGTAAGAAGTCTGCCGTTTTTCTTCATTTGTTGTCTCACCCTAAGTGTCTGCAGGTGTATTATGATTTTGTTTTTTAGTGCACTGTATGCTAGTCAGTTGAAAGTACTTGAGGCTGTTTGTATCCGTTTGCGTAATCCTGATCTTTGTAAGCAGAAGAAACATGTAGCTGCGTTAAGATTGTTTTCGTAGGTGCACAGCATGATTGTTTGTCTCACTACACAGTTCTAACTTTAGAATTAGTTTCTCACCCGCCGTTGCACTTAGCTCTAACTTCACTTATATTGTCTCACCCTCCCTCATTCTATTTTAGCACTTTATTTTGTTCTCGCAACACATTATTGGATGTATATCTAATCATAGTTCAACATGGTTACTCTTCAGTCATGCTTTCCACTGATGAATGTGACAAGAAAATTAATTTTGGTAAACTTTCATGACTTCGTTGTAGTGTGGCGATGACAGTAGAATCTGTTGTCTTTATTGCTTTTATAAAATTGTTGTCTCCACGTCGATTATTTCATAAATAAAAATAAAATAAAGTAAGAGAGGAACGTTTTATTTAATTATTTCACTCAAATCGTGGTCCTTGACTAATTGGCACGCAAGGTGCGAGAGAGGGTCGATAGCCAACCACGGCAAGAAAAGAAAAGAATAAGGGAAATTCAACTCGGACGGTGAGCCAATTAAATTATTGTGCAAAGGAGTAGGAAAAAAAGTTAGGAGTTATGACTAACTAGCATTAAGACATGCCAGGATATCAGGAAATTCACAGTCCAGCTTTCCACACTGTCTCATCCGAAGTGATCCCATGTATTATTAATGTGCCTCCCTTTCTTTTTCTCCCCCTATCTCCTTTCCCTCTCTGACAGCATCTTTCTTTTTTTTTTCCCTTTTAGCTTGCCGTGGTTGGCTATCACCTGACCTCTCATGTTTATTGGCAGTCTTCGGACGGGCCAGGAGATGTTGAATAAATAAATAAATAAATAAATAAATAAATAACTGTCTCAGGTTCGGAAAAGTCCAGGAGGGGAAGGAAATCGCAACGAAGAAGAGCACTAGCTATGCATCACGGCAACAAAGAATGCCGAACGTTACTGGATGATGACGAAACTAGTAAGACTATTGGACATACCGGCCTTACTACAACTCGACGATGCAAAGCAACAGACAACCCAACTTGGGAGGCTCAAGTTTATGTAAGAAACGCAGAAAGGGGAAGCTAATCGAAGACAACTTGTGACAAACCAAAACGTCAACACCCTACTGAACTCCACTATCATGTATGATGGACTAGTTATGTACAAGTAGGTGCACACAACACACGTTTGGCCGTATAGGTCATGGCGGATCATCAGGTGTGCAAATTCAACTCGGATGGTGAGCCAATTAAATTATGGTGAAAAAGGAGAAGGAAAAAATGTTACGAGTTTTGACTACCTGTCCGTCAACGTAACCATATCGTATACGGTCAGCGAGTGCTACAAATGGCACAAAACTGACAAGGAGTACTGAGATATTCGGAGACCTGACACCTAGCTCCAACACTTCTCCAAGGAATGTCGTATTTCGACTCCGCCGTACCGCTGATGCATCATGCATGCTATACGCTATATGCGCTGTGTGCTATTTACTGTATACGCTGTCATTTGCATGCTACACATATCTGGTGGTCTTAGACTGAGTTATTATGTTCGATCAAGTGAAATATACCGTTAAGAAAAAGTAGTTGTCCTCGTGACGTGTGGTCGTTCGTTCCTGACACTTACGAGAATCAGAGGGTTCATAACAAAGCATTTCACACACAGCGTCTACAACTGTTTCCTTCAATCAGTGCAGCAGATAATAATACTCACAGATATTAGAGGTTTGTTCATCACGTGTTCAGCAGTACTCTATATATACACAGTTCTACAACTGTTCCCTGCGTTCAATGGCGTAATTGAGAATACTTACAGTGATTTGAGGTTTGTTAGACCAGAGAACACACCGTCACCTAAAGTCTGGATCCGATTATTACGCAAATCTCTACACACCACAAGCCACAAGGAAAATGGTGTTGTTGCTTAGTTCCGGGTAGTGCACAAAACACCGAGTCTACATAGTAATTCTAATCTAAAAGGCCGAATCATGATCTTGTTTTCAGAAATAACCTACACTCCTAACCACAACATGATTCATATGCAACTGGGTTAGGTTGCGCAGTTCACATATAACACTGTAAAATATAGTCTCCGTCATTTTTCTTTTATTGTCAAGCATGAGGTTTGTTGCGAAGCTAAGAACACACAATTTCAAACGATACTTTGATTGATATGTATAGGATATTGACTCTAATATTGACCAAGACGCGGTCTATATTTCCCATAAAACAGAAATCTAGGTCAATATCCTATTTATCACGATTCCGTTGCCATAATCCCACAATTTGAACCGTTAGGAGCTATTTTAACCATTTTAGTATAGCATTTTTTACTATAGTGTACATAGGATGTTGCCTATATTGGGTACAAGACTGTAAGAACAACAGGGTTCAGCATCTGCAGCACAGTGGCTGGGTGGTAAAAGGGGTTGCTTGAGATTCATACTATTGTGGGTTCGAATCCTGCTTGTTCTCTTCCTTTGTCTTCTTTCTTTCAAATTTCTTTTTGAAGTGGACAGAAAGATTCTAAGTCCCTCCAAAGTCGAAAGGTTACAATGCCTAAGTGGTCGATACAAGCGGTCGATGCAAGCGGTCGATATTACGGCAGTATCACGCTCTTATTATTGACCCCCACAGAAACGAGCTAGCGAAATGATTTACTATTCACACGGGAAAAGGTGAACCATTTGGAGAGCGTTGTTGGCTGTGGTGTGTTAGTCCAGCCTTGCAGAACTCAGATGACCATGGATCTGGCTGGAGCAGCTCAATGCTCACATACGTCATCCCTCCAAAGCGACAAAGCATCTACAGTAAAAGAGAATGGACAGCTAGCCAACACACCAGCTAGCAAATGGGCTCATGGCTGAAAATTCTAGTAGTGCCAGTACTGCCGATAAGGACGACGTATCCTTTCAGCCTGTCATGTCAAGGAATCAGCGCCGTCAAGCCAAGAGGATGACACGGACCCAACCTCACCCTACTGAAATAGAAGAGGTTGGACTCCCTGCAAACAAACAGGCAAAGGAAGAAGCACCACAAAGAAATCCCATCCGTCGCCAGGTATCATCACGTTTCGCCAAACCGTACCAGAATGTCCCTGGTTCTGTTCCGTCTCTGGATGCTGCCCCCCGCAGTCCGCGAAAGGTCTTCTACTTGAGAGATATTCCGTTTGGTTGCGAGGCAGCGAGTATAGCAGACTGGTGCAGGGAACGCGGTGTTGAAATAGTGCAGTGCTCAATATACTCCTCCGAGTATTTTCGAACTTCCTCCGCCAGAGTAACTGTCGAGGGTAAGGATGCCGATACTGTATGCCGGCACACCTTCTGGCCGAACACAATGGGTCATACCGTGAGGGAATGGCGTTTCTATTCTGACCAGCCCACCAGACAATATCTCTCACCATGAATAGTAACCTTGTCTTCCCCAACACTACTGGAACACTGAATCCATTGGCCCGTCCCTTTTATCCTCCCATCCATACTGCCCTTACCATCCTTTCCCTCAACTGCCGCTCAGTGGTCAACAAAGTAGCGGAACTCACTGTTATGTGCAACATGTACTCTCCGGAGGTTATATGTTTGTGTGAACATGGTTGTCCCCTGCCAACCTCTTCTCATTGGAAGGCTACACAGTTCATCGACGGGATCGTCCCACCTCTAATATTCGATCGGCCAATCCTACCAGAGGTTATGGTGGGGTAGCCATACTGGTGAAAGATGGCTCCTTTACATCGGTGAAGCCTCTGGCGAATCTTCAGCAACCGGGCTTGGAGGCCATCTGGCTTGAGCTTCGCACAGCAAACTCACCCCAACGTCCACTTATCGTCTGCGCCACCTACCGACCTCCTGGTGGTACCCTGGCGGTTATCCAGGCCTGTTCTGATGGTCTGGAAGACTGCCTTCTGTCACTTAATCTATCTGTATCCACACTACTCCTCACCGGTGACTTCAATGCCCATAACTCGAGCTGTTTGGCTGGTGATAGGACAACCCCGGTGGGTCAGTGCCTTGAAACCGCCTTCAGGTGCTTCGGATTAGAGCAACTGGTCCCACTTCCCTACGCACTGGAGCCCGAGTGGCCGGTCATCTTGCTTGGACCTCATCGTCACAAATTCACCCCAGCAGTTCCTCTCCGTTGATTAAGCCGCTCCACTGGGTAGGTCTGACCACGTGCAGCTCATCTGTCGAGTCCGTCTCCCTGTCACGTCCAAAAATTCAACCCTACAACATCACTTCCTCCCAACATCTACCCCTACACCCCCAGGTTAAAATTTCAAGTTGGTGCCACGTTGCGTATGGGATGACCTGAATGCTGAACTTACTGATGTCCACTGGAAATGTCACCTCCGCAGCTCGCACGTGGATGACGCTCTTTTGTCTTTCCACTCTATTCTTAGCAGGGCCATGGAGAAGCACCTCGGGTACTTCTCCCGGCGCCCACTCTCCCCCTCATGCCAACGTTTAGGTCAGCCACCTTGGGTTGATGCCCCCCCCCCTCCGTGCCGCCATTAAAGCAAAGCACGATTTCTATAATGTGTGTAAGAAATACCCAACCCAGCTTAACATGCATGTCTATCGATCTCAACGGAACTTGGTGAAGAGTCTGACTCGATCGAAATACCGGGGATACATTCGGTCCGTATAAGCTACGCTGCAGGACAAAAACCGCCTATCACTGTTTCAGTTCGTGAACAAATTAAAAAATCATAAATTATCTCGTGACATCCCGACACTCACCATTAGTTCTACGCAGCAGGCTACTACCTCTTCAGCTAAAGCCACTGCATTGAACTCTCAGTTCGCCTCTGTGGCCGTGCCTGATGACCCTTCTCTACCCATTCCCCCCCATTGCGGAGGAGTCGGGTGAGGCTGACTGCCTCACATCTCTCTTTACTACGACTGCTGCCATCCGACGTTACATTCAAAAGCTCCCTTCTGACAAGGCGCCAGGCCCAGACGGCATCACTAATCTGGTATTAATGTCCCTTGCGCCCTTAATAGCATACCACTTATGTCTGATTTTCAACCTATCATTCCGCACTGGTCGTTTTCCCTCTGCATGGAAAACAGCTAATGTTATACCGATCTACAAGAAAGGTCCCGCCACGAAGCATCAAACTACCGTCCGATATCTCTACTGTCCTGTATTTCAAAACTCTGTGAGCGCGTTTTCTACGACCAATTGTACTGTCATGTCTCGTCATGTTTGAGTTCAGCTCAGTCCGGATTTTGCAGAGGCGATTCTACCACCCTCCAGCTGAAGCGCCTGGTGCAATTAGTGTGTCGACATCGGAATGCTGGAGATCTAGTCGGGATCTGTTTTTCGATCTTGCCAAGGCCTTCGATACAGTCTGGCACAGGGGGCTTTTGGCCAAGCTTTGCGGATCATTTACTGTAGACGGCAATCTCCTGCTATGGCTGACATCTTACCTAACTGGGCGAACGCAGTACGTCACGGTACATTGGACGTCCTCGGCCGACACAACAGTACTATCTGGAGTTCCCCAGGTTTCCATCCTCGGCCCCCTTCTTTTTATCTTATACATCAATGATCTGCCCACAGCTGCCCCGGGCACATCACTGTTCGCAGACGACACAACGCTCCTACGGGCATCTTCTAACATTACTGGCGTGATGAGTAACCTAGCTAACGGGATTCAAAGAGTAATTTCCTGGATGTCGTCTTGGCGGTTATCGCCCTATCTGTCTAAAACTAAAATCATGCTCTTTCCTTATCAGCCCGATGTTCCGCCCCTCCTCCATCCCACTTTCCCCCAGCCTATAGACATAGTCTCCAGCCAAAAGCATCTTGGCATTTTCATTGACTCTAATCTTTCATGGGAACCCCACATCGATTACATATGTAAACGATCAAGTACATCTTTAGGAATCCTCTCTTCTCACTGTTACCATCTCCCAATCTCTTGTAAACTCCTCTTTTACTCAGCTTACCTACGCCCCATTTTGATTATGCAGATACTGCTTGGACTGGAATTTCCACAACCCGTGCTGCCAAGCTCGAATTTCACCACAAAAAGGTTCTCAAAATCCTCCTCCGAAAACCCCGCATGCTCCCATCTTCCACCCTTTATGCCCTTGCTGACACTACCCCTTTGTCTAAGAGACGTAATTCACATCTTGTCACCCTTATCCATTCTCTCAAACTCAATCTGTGTCCACCTCACCTCCACTGTTTCAACTGGTTTTCTTCCCGTGGCACGAGAAACTCCCTTTCCCTTCCGAAACCTAAGTCCTCCTTTCTACTTCACTCTCCCTTTTCAATGTAGAATCATTGGCTATACCTATGGCAACCGTTCCTCCCATATAGCATCAAGTCTTTGTTGTGACGTTTTACACTTTGGAATGAATGGTTTGATCTTGATCACATCATCTTCATCATCAATGAGTTTCGAAAGTAGGAATGGATAACTCACTTTGACTTTTTTCTCTTTATTTGCTACTTCTTTGATCCTCTGAATTTTATCAACAAGATTGTTGAATGGGGTTTTGCTAAGATATTTTGGTGAACCAACCTTGTTCAGGGGTATCTCCAATCTTGTTTCGATTCCTGTTCTGGTTTTGGATTTTTCTATTTCTTCGAAGAAAGATGTGGTATCATACAGATCATTTTTCTTCATCTCATACACCTCAAGATCCTCTTGAGTTACTTCATTTTCCAAAATCATCAATTCTATATCTGTAGGAAACCATTCTTGGTTTCTATAGTCAATGTAGTCCGCTATCATCTTATCTTTCCTGGTAGAGTGTTCATCATCTATCCATGTATCCATGACTTCTTCTTCTTCTTTGTTTGTGGAGTACTCGTAATCAAACCAGGCATCCATGATTTCACTTCTAAAAAAAAATGTTTTTGTTTTTGTGGATTT